GCCTTTTTATGTATACACACATTGTGTTTGTAACTAATATTGATAAAAGTGAAAGCTGTCCCACTATACAGGTAGCCCTCGATTTACGCCGGGGATGTGTTCCTGGATGAATCAGTGTAAATTGAAACTCTTTTCATAATGTAAATCAATGGCATGCGTTCCCAGCACCCAAACATTGACGAGTAATATAATGGCATTACATTTAAAGCTCTGAAATAACATAAATAAAATAAAAGGAATTTAAGAAATACATTTTATACACTTGCAATCGGTAATTCGTTGGTCCTCAGTGTAAATTGAAACTCTTTTCATAATGTAAATCAATGGCATGCGTTCCCAGCACCCAAACATTGACGAGTAATATAATGGCATTACATTTAAAGCTCTGAAATAACATAAATAAAATAAAAGGAATTTAAGAAATACATTTTATACACTTGCAATCGGTAATTCGTTGGTCCCCGCGATTGACTGCAGTTCTTTCATGTGATTGATGTGTACAGTCATCTCTGCTGTTATACGATAGTTGCATTCATGTAAGACGCCGACCTATAGAAAATCGCGTAGTAAAAACAACCCCGGTACCTCCGCAGAGATTGAATTAGTCCTTTGAAAGTTTAAAGCGCCAGGACTGAAATTGCGTAAGAGCAAACTCGTATATGCAAAAGTCTGCATTTCACAAACAGCTTTTACTGATTCATCGATCTCATTGGAGTAAATTCGCGTTAACGAAACATACGTAATTGCGGAGACTTTATTTATAATTTTTATTCAAATCAGCGATGTAAGAATTAAGACTTAGTATAAGAATCAGTACGAGATACATTGTAAAACATTACAAATAATAGTAAAATATATTTTATTCACTTTTTGACTTTCTGGTTTCTGAATCTGCGCAAATCGAGGGCCACCTGTACACAATGTAGGCGCAGCGTTTTAAAGATAATACTGAAGCCTAAAGAATGCAAAAGTAGATATTTCTTTTATATCCTGTGAATAAGAATGTGTGCTTTCATACAGATGTTATGAGACATATCACAGTTTTTATTGTTGCATGTCTCTTTACAATGAGTGTTTTTCCAAATGGTTTAGATTCCCATTATGTACGTGAATTTTTAGATGTTTTTATGTATCATGTATTCCTAATGTGACTTATGTGATCATTTTGTATGTCAGTGCTAAATGACCTCTGCAGTTGTAACAGTGTATAATTATGTCTTGAAAGTATAAATGTGTGCTCCATTTTCTGTTGCTGTGAATTCAATAGAATGTTGATGTTTTAATCAAAGATGGCTGTGTTAAAATGAGGTCGACCGCATTGGTTGGACTTGCAGCAGTGCGATGTTGAGTGTTACTGTCTGTTGCAGATTCAGATCACATGGACTATGGCAACAGTACTGGCATGAACTCAGAATCAACTGAGATTCCAACAAGTGGTGAAAGCAAGACAAAGATCCAAGGTTATAAATATGGAGAGGAGAGAACTGATAACCCAGGGATGTCTTCTTCAGATATGAACCCAACATACCCAGAAGTGGTGCTGAAACCAAGGGCTGACAGTGCTTCGTCAGAAAGCATTCTTGGACACCTGTGAATCGGGCCGCAGCCGCCATGATGTTTGACTGATTTTTTTATATATATATATATACGTACTTCTAAGTTCCCTGTTGCTAGTGTAATCTTGCAAATAGGCTTCCTTTTGTATGTCTTCAGTAAGCTATGTGAATACACCAGAGTTCACCGTCAACAACTTTAAAGTGTCCGTGACAGAGTTTGTTGGCTGTAATGTTCTGTAAGCTGGTAGGACTAGCTGTTTGTAAGAGTCCAGTGGAGTAGGAATGTTCCTCCCCTCACATAACGGCAGAAACAGGTTTTTTTCCCAAAACGTCTTGTTTGAGAAAACCGAAGACGATGGACAGAGTTCCTTTTAAGTTCTACAAATTCAGTATTCCAATAGGTAAAAGTGATGCATATAATTTTATAAGACAAATTTATAATATACTATTCATTGAAAAATATTGTTTTGATGCTAAACCTCAGACTCACTCCAACTTATCTGTAATGCTTGCTACAGTGGAGATGTACAGGATTTCAGTAAAAAAAAAAATTACATCTGTAGCGTAATATTTCAAAACATAAAGCTGCTGTAACCAAAAGGACTGTCTGCCCTGGAGCAGGTGATGTGTAGCATAAAAACTAAAACATGGCTAGAAATTGCCAGTGGTAAGCTAGTGTGTAGTTGTGAGGATACTGCTTTGTGTGGTTACAGCAACATAGCTACGTTAGAACAATTGTGCATGTGTACTGTATTCATTTTCCTGAGGAAATAAATAGCACTTATTGAGCTAAACACTGGTGTTAACATCCAACTACAAACATTTGAACAGTTTTAAAATATTCCATTCAAATACCCGATTCATCCCTCCAAATTGGGTCTTAATGGTGAGTCCTAAGATGGCTGTCTTCTGGGTTGTAACACCTTGTGGTCTGGTAGAAGTTTACCCGACATTTCAGAGCTCCTTGCTCAGAAAAGTTGATGAACTTCTTCCAGACTACATTTCGCTACAGCCTAGAAGACAATGGTCCTAGAGTGGCCATCATAATTTTTCTTGAATTATTTTTACCAAATTATATCCCCTTCTTCCCATGTATCTTCATTTGTCTTGCATATGCCCAACACTACAGTTCACCATATTAGTTTTTTTTCTATTAGGCTTATAAAACTACAAATGTTTATTCTTTTTCACTTTTACTGGTTAAAATATCTGCACTAGAGGAAATTATCTGGAATATTCAAATTCATTCAGCTTTTTTCACCCAGAATCTTCCGTGCATTGGACCTCGGTTCATCCACAGGTGTTGAGACAGTATGGCAGATACTTTTAAAATGTGCTTATTGATTTTCAGTGTTGTGCCCTATGCATTCATGCAACTGGTGATGTGACAGTTGATAGCTAGTTGACTGCATATACACATTGGTGATATAAGTTGTCCGTATTTTTATACGACTTTTCATTGAGAACAGCCATTATGTTCTGTTGCAGCAGAGATTGACAAGATAGGAGTGTATCCGTAGTACAACAATTCTGGCATGTCTGAATTCGATCTTTGTGAATGGCACTAGTGACAGAATTTTCTGGCATATATGGGTGTCATGTCTGGTGCCTATTTGGCTGAATGATGAGGTGATCCTGGAGGATCC